AGATAGCAAAATTGCTCAAGGAATTTACCGTCCAGTGTGCATCTTTTGGGCAGATATCCTTAACTGTATGCGTCCGCATATGAAACGCTCTTGTTCGAGGGTGATTGGTGGTAATCGCAGATTTAAGTAATACTCCAATTGGTCACGATTTACGGACAAACGATCCGAAATCACTGCAGCTAAACTCTTCACGTCTTCAATTGAAACACAATGCATCGCCCACACATCAATCAATTCACCCATCACAGCTATATTGTCCGTTAAATCCGTTAAATGTTGCATTCGCTCACATGCCCGAAACAAATCACTGAAAAAAACACATCATTCGTCAACAAACTAGACCGAACAAAAAATGAAACCAATGTACGAATTACGATATCCGAATCGTCGTAAATGTTCTAAAGTAATGAGATGAACTTAATTCACACACTCCAATAACAATAAAGCAAAACCACCAACACAAATTTCGCTAACTACTTATAACAATTCCGAAGTAATCACATCGAAATCACATCAAATAGTAACCATCCAAACATTATACAATGAATTATCCGAGGACATCCATTTTGTGCTCAATTCGCTGCTTATTATTTCATATCCTATGTCTACCAATCAAAAAATGAGTCAGTCGTTTCATTTGCGTACTCATCCGATTCTCATCTATTGATGGAATCCACAATCGGAAACTCCCGATACGTGCACCAATATCATGCGTGTATCGTCTTCAACAGACTTGTGTTTGATCAATGATATACCGAAAAAAAATTTTTTTGGAAACAATTAGCCGAATGAAAGATACGAACGTTGAGGTGAGCATTCGTTTTGAGTTCTGTTTTCTGAGCGTGTTCTCCTTCAGCAAGTCGTTGAATATTGCTATGAGTTTGCGAGTGAACGGAGCCACTCGTCCGTATTTCACATAAATGATGCGTCGCATTTCCTCATCACTGAACGCTGGCAGTCGAACACGAAGTGGAATCGAGCACATCACAGCGCCTGCATCCACCGCCGCGGATTTCGTCGTCGATCCAGTGGGCGATATCCTCAAATCGCCAGAGATGATATCCTTCCATTCGACGGATACGAAAGCAAACCCAACAATATTCTCCAATTTATCTGCGCGCTATTTCACTATGTCTTTCATTTATTCTCCTATCCGAAAATTCCCTGAGACTGCTCTGGGTATTTGATGTTAAACCTAGACGTTTTCCTATTCAAAATATATAGTGTAACTATATATACTAATTGTTCACGGATTTTCAGCACACTTTTATTCCAAACCGTTTGTGAGTTGCTGATAGAGATAGCTATCGTGCAATGTGCAATAATGAAACAATTGACTGCTTCTTCCAATGATAGCAATATCTTAACAGTGCAAGCTTATTAACCTCATCGAGGCGACAATATACGCTTCAGGATGCATTCGGACCACTTCTCCAGCATTCACTTTTACCCATCGTTTCTCACAAATATCAACAAGCGCTGATATCAAATCTACAGAGGCACAGTCCAAGTCTTCTAACAATATAACACCACGTTTACGGATCACCTATAATCATGCAGTTTAAGTTAATGATTCAGATCTTTTGTGATACTAATTTGAGAGGGGTCATGGTGCATTGTAATGGTGCATTCGTGCAATCAGCGAATCAGCTTTACGCGCTGAGTGATTCCCTGAGTGACAAATTCGACTGGATTATATTGCTGTAAACTGGTGAATCTGATCGTTTTTTGCAGAATCTGAGAATTTGTTTGCATCAAAATTGGGAATTTTCAAGTGATCTCGTGCGAGATTCCAGGAGTATGAATATCACGGATGAGATTACATGTAATCACAACTCACTTTCGTAAACTTGCTTGGTTTCCATATGAATTCACCCGGAATTTCGGC